CTCCCTCCCTCCCTCCCTCCCTTCCTTCCTTCCTTCCTTCCTTCCTTTCTTTCTTTCTATTTCTTTCATCCTTTTTGATGTTTTCTGAATATTCTGCACAATGAGTATCCATTTTCCTAATTAAAGAGCAATTAGGGGGTGGGCTGGAGACATGACTCGGCAGTTAAGAACACTGGTTGTTCTTGCAGAACATTCACATGGTGGCTAACAACCATCCATAACTCCAGTTCCAGGGGATTCGACACCCTCGTCTGTCCTTCACTGGCATTGCACAACACAGGTGCACTTACACACATGCTACAATAAAATAAAAATAATAAAAAAGGAAAGCAGGTAAAGCAAAGAATGACAGAGAAGACACCTGCTGTCCTCTGGTGCACACACCTGTACACACATGTGCATGCACCACACATAAACATACACACACAAAGAACAATTAAGCTGTATTTCTAAGATGCCTTTATGCACCAGTGTCTCTCCCTCTCCCAGGCTGCATGCTTTGGGAGGCGCCTCCAGGAGTGTCCACCTACTGGTCAGCACAGAAGACAAACACTTTGTCACCCTCCTTCCTTGTAGGAGCCATTTCTGTCTACCCCAGGGCAGCCACTGGATAAGCCTCTGACTCGGCTGAATGGTGAGAACCCTCAGCATGCTCTACAGATCAACAAAGTGGTGAGTGACACATCAAAGAGGGACAAGGCAGCCACTGCAGGGACTGGAAGGGTGCCCGGGGGCCCTGCACTGCCTGCCCTACCCTGGCTTTGTGTTGACAGATGCTGCGGCTCCTAGGGGACGGATCCCTGTTGCCCTGGCAGGAGCAGACCATGGGCACATACCTGGTGCGGCAGGCACAGCACCGGCTGGGACTTCGGGACGAGCTCTTCAGCCAGCTTGTGGCCCAGCTGTGGCGCAACCCAGATGAGCAGCAGAGTCAGCGTGGCTGGGCTCTGATGGCCATCCTGCTCAGTGCCTTTCCGCCAACACCTGCCCTGCAGAAGCCATTGCTCAAGTAAGCAACCCAGACCAGTCTGTGGGACCTGGTGAATGGGATCTATGCACCCTACCCTGCAGCAGCCCTGTTGTTGTCCCTGCAGATTCGTATCCGACCAGGCCCCCCGGGGTATGGCAGCGTTGTGCCAGCACAAGCTGCTGGGAGCCCTGGAGCAGACACCACTGGCCCCCATGGCCTCACGGGCCCACCCACCCACCCAGCTAGAGTGGACAGCTGGATGGCGGCGGGGCCGCATGGCGCTGGATGTGTTCACATTCAATGGTGATGGCTGCTTCCCTCAGCCCGGTGGAGCCAGCTCTGCCCTCCACCCTCCCTGCTCCCTTCCTCTCTCAGCCCCTGCCACCCTGCCCTGTGACCCTCATGTTCCTCTCTCTTGTCCAGAGTGGGGATAGTAGGCACTTACTGTCAGGGTAGAGTCCTGTCCCTCACCCTTGCCTCACCCCCATTCCCTGCAGAGGAGAACTACTCCGCAGAGGTGGAATCCTGGACCACAGGAGAACAATTTGCAGGGTACATCCTACAGAGCAGGTATGGGGGCTCCAGAATGAGCCCTGACCACTTACCATTGTCCCTACCCTTGTCCTCCCAGACCACTCTCCCACTGCATGTCCCCCAGGGCCCAGGGATGGGGGCTGCTCCCCAAGGGGCAGGGAAAAGGAAGGGCTTTTAAGGTAAGTGGACAGGATCCAACTGTACTTTCCAAACAGAGAACAAAGCATAGAGATTCTAAACAAGGGCCATTGAGAGACTAGGGCCCAGATTCTAACTCCATAGGCTGGAGAATGAGAGTGTGTGAGCCTAGAGGTAACTGGAAGGGTTTTAAGGGTTTTAGGAAAACTGAGCATCTGCAAGCGGCTGAGCTCCTAGCCCTGCGACTCACACTTGGGGTAGAGAGGTCATTGGAAGGGCCTCTGAGACTCTTCCCCAGACACCTCCATGGCTTGTTCTCCACCCCTTTGCCCTTGAAGGATTGTCTTCTTCCCATCCATTTCCCTCACAACTCCACTCTGTCTGCTACTCTGTCCCACCCAGAGGCCTGGAGGTGCCCCCTCGCGGCTGGTCTGTGTCACTGCATTCTGGGGATGCTTGGCAGGACTTGGCTGGCTGCGACTTTGTGTTGGACCTGATCGGCCAGACTGAGGACTTGGGAGGTCCAGTTGATCCCCACAGCTACCCCATCACTCCTCTTGGCTTGTAGGTGCCACCCATCCTCTGCCCTAGCTTGCTCCTGCCCTGGCTAGTAACCCCAAGAGCTACTCTGCCATCCTGTGGTGCATTAGCTTGTCAAAGTCCCAGCCCTCCCATCTAAACCTCTACCCACCTCTTGGAATCAACCTCTATAATATCCCCCTTAACTAGAACCACTGTTTCCTACAGAACTGAGGATATACCCCCAGCCCCTGGGGTCCAGGCCCCCCCACTACCCCCAGGACTCCCTCCAGGTCCAGCCCCAACACTACCTAACACAGGCCCCCTAGGTAAGTAAGGCACCCTGAGGTTGGCAGAGTACCAGGAATGGACTGAGATGCAGCCTCTTACTGCCGTGGATGTACCAACTTACTCCTGTCCCACAGGGGCCAGGACGTCTGGAAATTTGGATGGCTTCCTGGACCACCTGTTCCAGCCTGTCCTCTCCCCAGGCGTCAGTGTGAGTGTCCTACCGTCCTCCTTTGTTTTGGTTCTGGGGCTTGGCCACTTCTGTTGTTTTCAGTCTCTAGTTCTGACATTGTAACCATCATCCTTCAGGATTTGGAGCAAGGCTGGGCCCTGAACAGCCGCATGAAGGGAGGGGGCTCTATTGGACCCACACAGCAGGGTTACCCCATGGGTGAGTAGAGCTGATGTTCCTTTAGGGCCTTCCAGGCCCGGCAGCACTGGCAGCAGTGGTCTGCATGCCCTAAGGCAACTGGATGGGTGCTTTAGTCAGCACCCCAGTGACTAATGTTCTTTTTGCCTGGGACTGGAGGGAGAAGGTATGTGGGCTCAGGTAGGGACATATCTGAGAGACCCTGTTCCCTTAGTGTACCCAGGGATGATGCAGATGCCTGGATACCAGCCAGCCATGGTGCCCACACCCATGCCTATGATGCCAGGAATGGGCACAGTCCCCACCATCCCCACAGTTCCAGGTGAGGCTGGCCAAGGGCACCAGGACAGAAGCTGCCAGGACTGGAGTGGGAAGGGTCCTGCTCGATCCAGAGAGCACCTGGAACCAAGAGACTCAACCCCAGCCCTGGCACTTACCTGTGTTGGCCACTTGCTGTTCTCACAGCCATGATGGTGCCACCACAGCCGCAGCCCCTGCTTCCTAGTGTGGATTCAAGGCAGCTGGCAGTCCAGCAGCAGAACTTCATCAATCAGCAGGCGCTGATTCTGGTAAGAACAGCTGGGTCTGTGGGGCTGCCCAGGGGAGTTGCAGGTGTTGGGGCAGGGCTAACCAAGGCTTTTCCTGACCTGTCATCTCTCTTTCTAAGGCCCAGCAGATGACCACCCAGGCCATGAGCCTGTCCTTAGAGCAGCAGACCCAGAGACACCAGCAACAAGTACAGGCCTCTAGGGCTGCCTCCCAGGCCCAACCCTCAGCTGTTGCTGCTCCCAAGCCCAAGAAGCCTCTTGCCCCCAAAGAGAAGCCAGAGTGTGATCTAGAACCTGCAGATGTCTATGTTAGAGTAAGGAACCAAGTCCAGGCAGGGGGCTGGGTAGGGGGAGACAATGGGACGGTGGGTAAGATGGTTCAGAGAAGTGATCAGAGGGGGATGCTGCAGAGTGTAGGGACATGGCTGGCTGGAACTGCTTCTCACTTCTCCCTTCTGCCAGGAGGAGACTCCAGAGGAGGCTGAAGGTATGCCTCAGCACCCCAGGAGCTTCCAACAGAAACGGGACTATTTCCAGAAGATGGGTGAGGATGCCCACATGGAAAGTTGGCCAATGCCTATAGCCCAGTCAGGGAAGGGGAGGGCGCACTTGGCTTCTTGTCTGTGTGACCTGTCCCGGAGCCCAGACAAGTAGGCTCCTGGACAGACATAGGTGACAGAGCAGGCCATTCACAGGGCAGCAGCAGATCAAGGTAAAGAAGGTGAAGCCTCCGGTCAAGGTTCAGATCCCCCAGGAGGAGACAGAGGAGGAAGAGGAGGAAGAGGAGGAAACGAGAGAAGGTGGGTAGCGGGCAGGGGTTCCAGGACTGCCGCATTTAGGTACAGTGTTTAATCATCTTTCCTCTTCCTGTCAGTTGCGTCCCCTCCTCCTCCCCCAGCTGTGAAGAAGCCACCCAAACAAAGCAGGACCAAAGCTGCAAAAGAAGATGAGGCAGAGTCAGCAGGGGAGGAAGAGCTGGCCCAGGGGAAGGTACCCACAGTGAGCAGGTCTACTCCTCAGCAACCAAAAACCAGCAGGACACCCACAGTGCAGAGCTCCAACTCCACAACTCAGCGGCCAGAACCCAGCAGGGCACCCACAGTGCAGAGCTCCAACTCCACAACTCAGCGGCCAGAACCCAGCAGGGAAATTCGTAACATCATCCGTATGTACCAGAGCCGTCCAGGCCCTGTGCCTGTGCCTGTGCAACCCACCAGGTAGGGCCCAGGGACAGGTAGCCAAGGCTATTTGTCTCTTAGGGAATCACCCTACAGACTAGTAACTTCTTCTTTCCTCCTTGAGGCCCTTCAAAACTTTTCAGAAGAAAAACGACCCTAAGGATGAGGCTCTGGCTAAGCTAGGGATAAATGGTGCTGACTCACCCCCTTCGGTGAGCCCCCATTCATCCCCTCCAGGGTATGGGCTGATCAGCTCAGGAGTCCTGAGCTCTCAGGGTAAACTTGGCCTTGTACCTTCTCTGTGTCCCCCAGACAGTGTCTCCTAACCTAGGGAGGGGCTCCCCACCAGCCGTGGCTCCTCGACCCAAGTCCCGGCCACGACTCGAGCCCTCCATCTCCATCAAGGAAAAGCAGGAACCCCTTCGGGACTTGTTTGGCCCAAGCCCATCCACGGCCCAGATACCCCCAGCTCCACCAGCACCCCCACTGCCTCCACCTGAGGAACCCAGGACTCCTTCAGCAGAGATTCACGGTGAGGAATTTATGACCCCTTGTGCTGTGAGCCTTTGGAGGTGGTAGCAAGACACAGAACAGCCTCTTTGGGACCATGGCTAAAGTCATCGCCACTAGGCTGAGGCCAGTTGTTTGGGCTTCTGGACTTTGGAGCTTTGGAGCCCTGACTTCCGCATTCCTATCCAGGGAGGGTCTGAGGCACCCTGGGGCCTGTCTGACACTGATACACAGGGTGTTGTCCCTGATGTAGACCTGACAGCTCTATGAGGAACTTAGTGACTGTGGCGGATGTGATCAGGGACACTAGGAGAAGCTCAGACTTCCTGGAAATGAAGGCTTGTGGCAAGGGTGGTATAGTGAAGTGGCTAGAGGTTGACAGTCCCGAAAGGATGAGGCTGCCCACATCCCAATCCTAGATCTGGCAACCCTTGCCTGAGGCCCTTTCTCCCTCCTCCTACCAGCCTTGACAGAGCCCATGAAGGACCAGGGGGTCTCCACACAGCTCCTTGTGCCCTCTGGTAGCGTGTGCTTCTCTTATGCCAGTGCACCCTGGAAGCTGTTCCTACGCAAAGAGGTGGGCATTGGGGTGGGGCCTCAGCCTAGCCTCTTTGGGCTGTCAGGGAAGTGGTAGACTGTGAGAGATCCCAGCATGGATAGCTGGGCATGGTGGCGCACACCTTTAGTCCCAGCACTCGGGAGGCAGAGGCAGGCGGATCTCAGTGAATTCAAGGCCAGCCTGGTCTACATAGTGAGTTCCAGGACAGCTGGGGCTGCAGGGAGACCCTGTCTCAAAAGGACCAAAAAAGGAAAAAAAAAAAAAAGATCCTAACATGGAACCCCAATATCCCCTCCTCATGAGCCGCTTTTTCAAGGCTGGTTCTCCAGGTTGGGCCTATGAGGGCAGAGATGGGTGAGGCACAGCCTGGCATGATCTCTGCTCTTCCCACACTGCTTTAGGTATTCTACCCCCGGGAGAACTTCAGCCACCCCTACTGCCTCAGCCTTCTCTGCCAGCAGGTGAGAGTCTGACCTGTCTACCCACCTGTCCCACCTGCAGGCAGACTGCATCCTGGGGACCCCTAGGTTAACCTGGGCTGGGTTAATAGCCATGTGAGGGGCACAATAGCAACTGACATTTAGGACACTTCCTGTGTGCAAGCCCTGCCTCACAACATCCCTATGAAGCAGAGACCACGGTCAACTTAGTTTTACAGATGAGGATTCCAAGCAGTGTACATGGGACAGGCTCCCGCACACACCAGGCCCTTCATAAACTGTGGTATATCTCAGCTAACCAATCAGCAGCAGATGGCAGGGGCTTCGGGTGGAGAAGCCAAAGGGAAGAATGTGTGGGTCCCTGTAGGATGGGAAGGAGAGCTGTAGGTTTTGACATGATCCTGGACTTGGGAACCTTCTGTCCCTCCCTGCTCCACTTGTGGCTCTAGTAGTACTCAGACAGCACTGCCAGATGGAGGTGCCTCCACTGAGCTCTTCTACCTTTCCTCCATGCACATCCATGGCTGCTCTGGGGTGGGCTCTGGCCAGCCCCAGCATCTGTGCTGACTACTTGGCTCTGCCTCCAGATCCTGCGGGACACCTTTGCAGAGTCCTGCATTCGGATTTCCCCGGATGAGCGGCACAAAATGAAAGACCTGCTGGGTATGGGTTTGGGGAGCTGGGGTGTAGGGCTAGACCTGCCCTGAGGGGGAAATTATCTTGGGAACACTCTGCAAGCAGGGAGACCTAAGGATAGCACATGCCCCTCCTGCCCACAGGAGACCTGGAGGTGGGCCTGGACTCCCTTGACACTGCCGAAGACAGCGTCAAAAAGCGTATTGTGGTGGCTGCCCGAGACAACTGGGCCAATTACTTCTCCCGCATCTTTCCAGTCTCGGTCAGTGATGCTGAGCTTTGGAAGTAGGGATGCAGCTCAACTTTGGACCTCAGTGTCCACAGGCAGGGCCAACAGGCCTGGGGTGCAGGAGAAAGACAAAGGATGCCACCAGCCCCGTGGAACTCCAGGCATCTGGGCAATGCCAGGAGCCTGGCTGTGACCCATCCGCCTTCCTGACAGGGAGAGAGTGGCAGTGATGTACAGCTGTTGGGTGTGTCTCACCGGGGACTGAGACTGCTGAAGGTCACCAAAGACTCTAGCTTCCACCTGGACCGGCTGAAGACACTCTGCTCCTACAGGTGAGCTGGCCTGGAGCCTGGGCTGGGGGATGGGTGGCAAGATGGTCCCTAACTCACACTCCTACCCTATGCATAGTTTTGCTGAGGTGCTGGGTGTAGAGTGCTGCAGTAACTCCACCCTGGAGCTGTCGCTGAAGAGTGAGCAGCTGGTGCTGCACACAGCGAGGGCGAGGGCCATCAAGGCCATGGTGGAAGAGTTCCTAAGTGAGCTCAAGAAGGCAAGTGTGGTCTGATGGGGAGTAGGGTATACCTGGGGTGAGGCTGTGAGTTTAAGTAAGGTCCCTGATGCTCCCAGGTCCTGGGTGGAGGGAGGACATCTAGGGCAGGCAGTTGCTCCCTGACCCACTCACCCACCTGCCCACAGAACTCTGGCTATGTCATCGCTCTGCGCAGCTACATCACTGATGACCACAGTCTCCTCAGTTTCCACCGTGGGGACCTCATTAAGCTCTTGCCAGTGGCTACTCTGGAGCCAGGTATCTCCAGGGCTGGCAGAGGGGTTTGCTCAGGGAGGCCACTAAGGGACAGGGCCTGAGGTGGGCGAGCCAGCATTTGGGAATGCTTTCTAGGCTGGCAGTTTGGCTCTGCTGGGGGCCGATCGGGACTCTTTCCTGCTGATATGGTGCAGCCAGCGGCTGCTCCGGACTTCTCCTTTTCCCTGGGACAGAGGAACAGCTGGCAGCGGAAGAGTATGCCACAGCAGCTCAGGGAGCCAGGGCCGGCTCAGGAGGTGAGGAAGACAGGAGGTGAAGGCGAGTCCTAACTAGGAGTCTCAGAAGGAAAGGGCACGATTGCCTCAGGGGCTGCTTACTTCCTGTGGCCTGGTGGGCAGTCCTTGGTGTGTTGAGACCTTCTCCTGATTTCTTGCCTTGTCTCCCCAGCAAGACTGTAAGCCCCTGCGGGCAGGGGCTGGGCCCTATACCCCTCTGACTCCCACGTGGTACTTGGTTCAGAGAGCCTAATAAACAATCTTGACTTCCCTGGCTTCTGGTGTTAGTCCTCTTGGATCTGATGGGCATGGGGGCAAGACTGCAGATGGTGCAGGGGCAGGGCCTCTGGACAGAGCACTGGGGTATGAGATTTCCTGTGCTCCCAGCGCCCTGCCCGTCCCAGGAGCCAAGCACCCAGTGATGACTCAGAGGCCACCTCCTTCACGGCCTATAGCTCTCTGTCCACTGATTCCCACAACTACACCATGCAGGAATTTGCCCTGCGCTATTTCCGGAAGTCTCTTCTCTTGTAAGTACCCTGAACTGTCTTGTAAGTACCCCTGTGCCTGTCTGTCCTCAGACTTCCCAAAATGAGTCTTCTGCCCAGAGCCAGCAGGCCACTGCCCTTACCATTGGCTCTGCAGTCTGGAACAAGGTCAGGAGAGTCAAGTTAAGTGGGACTTTTTCCCTCTGCCCTCCAGGCTGGACCAGACAGGTGGAAGTGCCAAGAAGGCCGCAGTCAACTTGGTACAGTACAGCAAGGTAAGGAGCCAGGTGGGAAGGAATCTGGCCCAAGGATCTGCCTTCTGACTCCTATGGCCCCAGATCCACAGCCAAGCCTTTTTGGCCACAGGCTCCCATCCAGGAATCCCTCATCGACCTCAGAAATGATGACATGAGCAAGCAGGCTGTGGCTGGCTTCCAGGGTGAGTGGCTGCAGGCATCTTTGGTCTCCATGTCCACAGTGCCTTGGACGTGGGCACCTGGATCCCTTATTGAGTTCTCCCTGGTTCTGCCCATCCAATTTGTGTGCCCTCCTATGGGTTGTGGGCTGTGTGTCATTTTGGGCTGGAAGGTACTGGATGGGTCCAGCTGACACTACTTGCTGTATGTGGCCTTGGGCACTCTCCAAATTTCCCTCAACAAAACTGGAGACAACTGTCCTCGCTGGTGCATGTATGCTTGAAGAGTGGGGCATCAGATGTCAGGTGGTCCCGCTTACTATGCTCCATATCCTGCCTGCAGTTCTGATGCAGTTTATGGGGGACCAGTCTAAGCCCCGGAGCAAGGATGAGCTGGTTCTGCTCTATGAGCTGCTGAAGGTAAGCGAGAGCTGTGAGCGGCAGTGTGAGCCTTGAGTGCTTCTTCCTGCCTAGGCCTGAATGGAGCCCTCCCTCCTTGGTCACTATTCTTTCTCTCACCTTTGCCCCATTCCTGGCTGTCCAATTGTTTCAGGACACTTTGTTTTCAAAATAGCTCACAGCACTTAAGTTTTGGAGCTATTCTGCTATTGTACAAGCTACAAATCCTTGCCCAACAGCTGAGATATTCTTTGGTAGTATATCTGAAGACTGACTAAAAGTCCATATAAAACAAATATTCAGATAATTTTCATAGGGGCTGAAGAGATGGTTCAGTGGTTAAGAGCACTGACTGCTCTTGCAGAGGACCCAGGTTCAGTTCCCAGGACCCACATGGGGCTAACAACCATCTATAAGTCCAGTTCCAGAGGATCTGACGCTCTCTTCTGGCCTCCACTGGCATTGCATGACATGGATGTACTTACATACATGCAGGCAAAACACTCATATACATAAAAGCAAATAAAATTTAAAAATCAAAGTTTCCATAGGAACATGTAAATGTGACATTCTCGTCTCCTAAACTTTCCATTTCACTACCATTTGTGTTATTCATATGCCTATGAATACCTCTCTCTCTCTCCATATACACACACACACACTTTTTTGGGTCTTTTTGAGATGGGGTCTCCCTGTAGCCCCAGCTGGCCTGGAACTTACTTTGTAGACCAGGCTGGCCTTGAACTCTCAAGAGGTCTGCCTGCCTTTGCCCCTCAAGTGCTAGGATTAAAGGTGTGTGCCACCATACCTGGCCATCATTATATACTTTTTTATTTAGTGTATGTTTTGCCTGCATGTGTGTAAGTGTACCCATGTCATGCAATGCCCATAGAGGCCTGAAGAGGGTGTTGGATCCCAGTTGTTAGTGGCTATGTGGGTGCTAGGAACCAAACCCGGGTCCTCTGCAAGAACGGCCAGTGCTCTTAACCACTGAGCCATCTTTCCAGCCCCCATTTCATTTTATTTTTGTGTGTGCTCATGCATATGGAGGTCAGAGAACAATTTGTAGAACTTGGTTCTCTCCTTCTGCTATGTGGGTTCTGGGGATGGAATTAAGCACCTTTATACGCCGAGCCGTCTTGCCAACCCCTTCAAATACATTTCAAAACTAGAAGTAACTAAGTTAAATTGTCTCTATTCTTTCCAATCATTCAAACATATGCGCTGGGCACCTACAACATGCTGAGGGTCTGTGAACCCAAGAGGCTAAGTTTACCCTGCAGTGTACAACCTCATGGGAGACTGTCAACAAGGGCATGTGTCTGGGAGTGAAGATGCTTTGGACAAATATTAAGCCATGGGAAGTGGCTGCTGCTGGAGAGGTGGTTTTGTGACAGGGCTCTGAGGAGGAGGAATGAGCTATGTGCATGGGGACAGGACATTTAGGCAGGGTGACAGTCCGAAAGAGAGGATGAGCCTAAACACCAGCAAGATCAGCATGGTTAGAGTCCAATGAGCAAGCGTGGGGACAGAGGTGGGTGAGAACAGGTAGGGGATGGAGGCCTTGTAGGCCATTACAGAGACTTGAGTTTTCACAATCAAACTGACAGTTTTCTGATAGGAACCACTGGCCCGGTTTGGGGAGGCTTTATTCACATTTCACAGGGTCACTCTGGTTGAGATTTTATGGATTAGGGACAAAAAGAAGTTACTTTAACAACTCCAGGTAAGAGAGGGTGCTGGTCTGGACTCAGAGGCAAGTAGCAAAGGGGAGAGGTGGGAAGGTTCAGAGTCAGCCAGGGTTTGCTGTGTGCATGAGGCCAGAGCAGATATCAGCTTCAATGTGGAGTAGATCTGGGCTGGCAGAGTATCTGTTTCAGACATGGCAGGGCTGAAATCCCAGACTTCCAAATGGGGGGCCTGGAGTTCAAGGGACACCCTGGGTTGAAAGCAGGAACTGAGTCAGATGGGAGAGTTCAAAGAAACCAAAGCATACAGTAGAGGGGATGGGGAAGCCAGCACCAACCAAGAAGGCTCAGAGAAGCAGGTGAAAGAAGTTGAAAGACAATAACCAGTGCTAGGCACTTACCGCAGTGCTACAAAGCACTTGTCCAAGCTTCTTAAATTTTATTTTACATTTAGTCAGTGTGTATTCATGTGTGTAGGCATACACAAAGGTCATAGAACAACTTTCAGAAGTTAGTTCTCTCCTTCCACCATGTGAGTTGATGGGATAGAACTCAGGCTATCAGACAAATACTCTTACACACTATCTCACTGACCCCTTGTCTAGCGTTCTTTTTTTTTTTTTCCTTTAAGAGTTTTGAGTCTGTGTATCTGTGTGTTTGTGCACATTGTGTGTAGGTGCCTGAAGAAGCCAGAAAAGGGTGTTGGATCCCCTTGGAGTTGGAGTTATAGGTGGTTGTGAGCTATCTAATGTAGGTGTTGGGAACTGGACTCTGGTCCTCTGCACTCTTTACTGCTGAGCCATCTCTCCAGCTCCATTGTCCAGCATTCTTTAAGGCCCTGGGTTTAGTCCCTAGCATGGTATTAAAAAAAAACATAAGTGAGCATTTTTGGGCTGGGCAGGTGCTGTCACATGTTGAGGCAGACTGAGAGATGACTACTGGGATGTCACCTTGACTCACCTCCAGCCCACCATCATTGGCACTATTTCTCCCTAACATCAGGCCCTAGCCATCACTCATGGCAGCATCCCTCGGCACTACTGTCCTGCCCCTGCTCCACCTACCTACTCTTTTTCCACAGCTGTGCCGAGAGGAAGACCTCAGAGATGAGATGTACTGCCAGGTCATCAAGCAGGTCACAGGACACCCCCATCCGTGAGTAGGGATGGTGGGGCAGGAGACTCAGGGCACCACTGCACTGTGGTCTGGCCAGCCTGAAACCCAGGCTCTCTGTCCCACAGGGAGCACTGTGCTCTGGGCTGGAGTATCCTCAGCCTCTTCACAGGCTTCTTTGCACCATCCACCACTCTGATGCCCTATGTGACCAAGTTCCTGCAGGATTCAAGCCCTAACCAAGGTGTCCATGGGAGGGAAAGAAACAGGACTTCCGGGGCTGAGAACTCCCTGCCTGTAATGGGCTTGGACACACTTGAGACATCCATTCATTCTGGCCCTCTGCAGAGCTGGCCCAGAACAGCCAGGAGAACCTCCAGCGCACAGTCAAATATGGGGGGCGTCAGCAGCTGCCACCACCTGGTGAAATGCAAGCTTTTCTGGTACTAGGGGTGGGCAGATGGGCCTTCTGTGACTCCTCTGGGGTGGAGGGGGCGGGTTTGACAATGTCCACAGAAAAGCTGGGATCTCTGATTGCCTACGACTAACTCTACAACTCACCTGACAGAAAAAGCAAGCAGTTCGCTTGTTTCTAATTCACCTCCCTGGGGCTGTGGACTACAGGACGAATATCTACACATTCACGGTGAGCAGGGGCTGCCAAGGAAGAGCCCAAGAGCCTCAGCTCTGGGACCCCAGCCTCCTTCCCCATCACCATAGCCTTGTTCCTGTGCCCAGGTGGCGGGAGAAGTGCTGGAGGAGCTATGTGGACAGATGGGCATCACAGACCCCCAGGAAGTGCAGGAATTTGCCCTCTTCCTCATCAAAGGGGAAGGTGAGCCCAGGGGAGGGGAGGGGAGACAAGGCTGCATGTATATATGGGAGGTAGTCTTATCCATCGGGCCACTGCCTGCTTCGTGGGAAGGTAACTTATGTGCCAGGGCAGTGGGGCCACCTGTGGTCAGTGCTGGCTTGGGTTCCCTGTATAGGTGAGCTTGTCCGGCCACTGTCGTCCCATGAGTACCTCAACAATGTGGTGACAGACAAGGACATGAGTCTGCACAGCCGGCGTCTTGGCTGGGAAACCCCACTGCACTTTGATCACCCCACCTACATCGAAACTCATTATAGCCAGGTCAGCCCCCTGCCCAGAGACTGCTACGCAGGGCTGCTGCCACTAGAGGGTGAAATTCCTGCCTAGGCAACCTCTGGACCCCCTCCCCACAACAAAGTGGATCTTTGGCAGCTGGAAGGGCCACCAACTGCCCCCTTACAATCTTACCCCCTTAGGTGCTACGGGACTACCTACACGGGAAGCTGATGGCTAGTGCCCAGGCAGATGCTCAACTTGCCCAGCTGGCTGCCCTCCAGCACCTCAGCAAAGCCAGCAAGAGTCCCCCCTCAGAGTATGTGAGCTCAGTCTAACCCCTCCTGTCAGCACCACCACCCCAACCTCAGCACCAAACATGGGTTTCTCCTGCTTACCATTTTCCTTCCTCTTCCAAGGTCAAGGTCATTTAACCTTTCCTGCCCTAATCAGACTGGTCTAGAGTACCGAGTCCTTTTCACCTCTCTCCAACCTGATCCTAGACAAGGCCTTGGAGTTCTTATCTTATCCTTAGCAGGCACAAGTTCAGTTACTTACTTAGCACCACAGGCCCCCACCTGCAGCAGGAGGTCAATGGCCATGGGCCTCAATGACCCAGGCTGTGTACCCTAGGCAAGAGCTGCTGGCTTACATTCCCAAGCCACTGCAATGGCAGGTGAACATGGCCAACATAAAGAACTTGGTGGACCAGGAGCTGAGGCAGCTGCAAGGACACAGCTCCCAGACAGCACAGATCAGCTTCATCAGTGAGTCTGGGGCAAGGACTGCTAGGTAGAGGCTCAAAGCCCAGGAGGGAAGGGGTGAGGATGGGAAGGTGAGGAGGCTTCTATGCCTGGCCACCGTTCACCTGCCCAGGGGGGGAAAGTAAGGCAGGTCCCAGGGACCCTGTAGTCAGGACTGACCTCTCTCTACCCCCAGAGGCCACAAGCCAGCTGCCCCTCTTTGGTTATACTGTGTATATGGTGCTTCGAGTGAGTAAGATAGTCCTCCCGGGACCTATCCTCTTGGGACTCAACCACCAGCACCTTGTCCTCATGGACTCTAGCTCCCAGGTAGGTGGTTTCTGTCTCTGGGCTGACATGGGACACCTTGGGCTAGTCCTTTCACCCATGTATTGCCACCCCCTACCCAGAGCCAACTTCTGCTGTCTTTGTTACCCCAGAAACTGTGCTGCTCCATCACCCTAAAGGACCTGCAGCGGGTCCAACTGCTAAGCCCATTGGAGGAAAATGGGCCGCCTGGTCTGGAACTCAACTATGGCTCTGCTGACAAGCCCCAGACCATTTGGATGGAGCTGCCACAGGTGAGTGGTTATGGTTTCTGCTGTCCTGGGAAGGAAGAAGTGTATGTGTCCACCCAGCCATGGTGTGTACCAGGAACCCAGGCCCAAGCCAGTGGCCCTTGCTCAGGAGCAGTATGGGCAGAGGTGGTAGGCAGGGGTGGGAAACAATGCTGATCTACCTCTGTCTGGCAGGCCCAGGAGTTGCAGTACACCATCATCTTCCTGCTGAACAGCAGCATGACTTCCACTCAGTGGCCAGGCCTCAACTGAGGTAGTGATGAAGAGGTGGCCTGTCCTTGGCTCAGGTCTCATCGGTTTGCCTTGGATGCTGGCAGGTGGTTCTGATTTGGCCTTCACTACCTGGCCCTGCTCTGAAACTTGTGGAAGCACAGCCCAAGTGGTGGTCATGAGGCAGGAGCTGCCACAGTGACGTCAACTGGGAAAATAAGCAGACACATTCCCTCTGAGGTGAACTGAACCTAGAGTAGGGGGCTGTAGGAACTTCGCTTAGGCATCTGACATTGTCCAGTCAGGGGAAAATGCCCACTCGGGGCATTTCCATTCCAAGGCCCTTACTCACTTTAGCATAGTCCCTGTGAGAAGCAGCTGAGCAAATAAAACTCCCAAGAAAAGGAATGTGTACGTGCATGTGCGTGTATCACGACAAATAGGACTTTATTCTCTTGTAAACATCTCAGGTCTGGCTTTCCTGAACAGCAGCTGATCGGGGCCTTAAGTCTGCTGCTGTCTCTCTTCCAAGCTCTGCACCTGGGAAGAGGCTGGAAGGTGGCATCTCAAGGAAATGGGGAAGGGAGGGCAGTAGAAGACCTTAGCAGGCCCCAGTACTTTGGAGCTGACCTCGCCTGGCTGAGAACTTAAGCACAAGACAGAGGACCACTGCACTCTTCCTGTAACAGCCACACTACCTCAACTGCCTACTCTGGGGTCTGGCCCAGAATGCCCAGCCATAAGGGCCAAGGGAGGCTGTGAGAAGGAACCATGAGCTTTGTAAGCAGGAAGGTGGGCCGACCTTTGGCCTCCCACTTGATTTGGGTATCCGGGGCCACCTCCAAAGTGAGGTTTGGTCAGAGAGGGAAGGACCCTGAGAAAGCTGGTGCCTCTGGCACAGGCCTGTCCAAGGTAGAGTAGGAAGGATGCTGACCCTGTCCAGTCAGCAGTGGGTCATCTCTGTGGGCTACACAGGCTATGCCAGTCAGCTTCACTCTCGCACCGGGTATGGTCATGGAAAAACTGCTTGATGAGGCTCTGGGCCTCTTCCTTCACTGCAGATTGGGGAGGGAACACAAGAGATGGTGAGGACCAGTTTTCTTCTGGCAGATTTCCCCCACTTCCGCCCCCACAGTGCCTCCTGGCCCAGGCCAAGGATGGTGCTCACCACTCCTTCCAGGAGAGACCTTCTGAGTCAGCAAATGTGAGAGGTGGCGGGCAAAGCCTTTGAACAATTCCTAGAGGCAGAGGAAGGAGAAAGTGCATGCAGGAGCCTCGAGACCTAGAGCCATCCATCAGCCAACAAGGACAAAGCAAACCCAGAAGAGCAGAAGCTGGTCTTGGCCTAAGGCCTGGCCTGCTCTGCCCTACTTCATTCTGGGGTGAACATTCCCTGTCCCTCTACTTTCCCTGCATTATACCCATGTGTCCCAGGCATGAGAAGGGCGGGCCTATTCACCCTACCTTGGATGTAAACCTGCCTTCCTTATAGAAGGGGGTCAAGTACCGGACCACGACATCTGCAGCCTCTTTCAGCGAGATGACAGGAGCTGAGAGCTGGCAGGGGTCTTGAGCATTCATGGTACTGTGATCACCGGCTAAGGCTCTGCCCTTGACTTCAGCCAAAATGGAGGGCTTGGTTGAGGTTGAGGGGCGAGGCCTCTTCTGAGTCCTGTTCTCTGGGTTCTCCTGGACAGAGCCATAGCATGAAGGGGTCACTCTTGGGACTCCCCGTCACTGGCTCTGCCCTTTCTGCTGGAAGCCACACTCTCCAAGTGGCTTCCTCTAGCCTATCCCACCTGCTTCTGGGTATCAGACGTGATTTTTCTCTTGACCCAGCTCCTGACCCCATTGCCAACCTCCTCCCTCTCCCGAGGCCTCATCCCTACAGTACCTGCTGGGGTCTGGACCGCTTGCCTGCCTGGGTTTCCTTTAGAGGGCTGGACTGACCTCCAGAGGGCCCCTGGTCTCTCTGTGAGCAGGTCCTAGCCAGAGGGAAAAGCAGTATCAGAGCTCCAGGTTCAGTTGCTCCCTCGACTCAGGCAGCCCAGCAGGGCCCACCTGAGGAATGAACCTCAAGCTTTAGAGGTCCAGTGCAAAGGGGTCAGATGCTGCCACAAGGATTCTAGACAGTTCCATGACTACCAGAGCTCTTACCTCGGCAGCTCCCCAGAACACTCAATCTGAGGAGGAGCAATCAAATGTCCCTGGGCTCTGTCTTCTTCCTCTGTGTACTTCTCTAGCACCATGGAGGGTCTCTGCATACCCCCACAGGAGGGGCTGGTACCTTCTGATCTCAGGACTAAAGTGGGTGAAGATGAGCTTTCTGTTCTTTGGCAGAGGAAACGGGTGATGTTCTGGGAATCCTTCTGGGCTGCTGCAGCGAGGAGCTGCTGTTTCTTGTTGGCCTGGGTCTTGGCCACAGCGTTGCCCTGGGAGGAGCCTTTTGTCCTCTTCTCAGGGAAGGGCCCCCCACAATGAGCACTTCCCCCAGAGGTCTCTGCTCTGCACCCAGGAAGGGGCTTGCTCCTGTCGTCATCTTGGAGGTCACAGTCCCAGCCAGGAGGCTCCTGCTCACCTTCCTGCACAGCCTCAGCAGCTTGCTTCTGGGTATGAGACTTTCCCAGCAGCTCAGTGGCAGTCTGGAACGGGCAGGAGCCTTTGGGGAAGCCAGCTCCCACCCTCTTGGCTTTGAGCTGTGAGGAGGGAGAGCACAGAAGGGTCAGAACCTCAGACCTCCTCAAGGGCCACTATGGATGTAATTAGACATTTAGGAATATGGGAGGCAAGAGTCGAACAGGACACCAATGGGGGTTGGGCTGATGTGAGAAGAGGCCACAGCTGACAAAGGCACAGTAGACAGAGCAGAGTTGCCCCATCTCCTGACACCTGGGGCCAAGGTTGTGATGTCAGGAGAGAGCAAGAGGCTGATCCTACCTGAGGACAGAGGGCAAGTGGAGCCTGCTTTGAATGTAGGTTTGCGATGTGACTGGGATGCTGCTCACCGAGTACACATGTGAGGTTGGTGGGATGTCATACTCATTGGGCTCTGGGGGCTCAGTCCTGGTGTTACAGCTCTTGGTGCCACCTCCCACGTCATAGAGCTGCCCATCCTTAGAGGCTTTGTGGATCTCGGCCACCTACACAGGGACAGGCAGGGAGATTACTGCACCCACAAGCTCTACCTTAGCCCTGAACCAGGTCTTCTTCTTCCTCTGGGTATTAGAGGGAACTGGGGAAGTTCCAGTTCCCATTGGGTTGGTTAGAAACACCTTTAGCTAGCCAAGAATGAGCTTTACTCCATATCAATGACTCCCAGGGCCAGGGGGCTGACAGATGGCCTCTGAATGTGGTGGCTGACTTTCTGACCCTGAGCATGCTCTGCCCTGCTTGCCCCCTGGCCCACCTTCTTTAGCACGCTGGCCTTGTATAGGTTGGCCATCTTGGCATTTCGGAATGTCTCATGTTCCAACTCCACAGCTTTGGCCTGTAGTTCACCTCTGTGGGTGAATGAAAACAAGGTAACGCGCAGGTCTGAGCCTTCTCCCTGTGGTCCTGATGTTTTCTCCTCGGGGACCACGGGATAGCCTCATGACTCAGTGAGGGTGGGCACAGGAATTCCAATCAGAATGCTCTGGGCACTCTTTGGCTTACTGTGAGTAGTCACTGGCAGTCTCTAAGTGTGCAACTAGTGGGGCTGTAGGGCTGGCACCCGTGCAATAGGATGGGTCTGACCCTGCAGAGGGGCGGTTTCTGAAGGAACAAGTCTCAGCTCACTGCCCTGGAGCTCTTAGGATACTCACCCATCAGTGGACCCTACAGCCTGGTGATTACTGCTCAGAGCCTCCTCCAGAAGCCCCAAGCAGTGCTCTCGGGCCTGTAAGCAGAGGGAAGTTTTGGTCACCCACCTTCAAGGTCAGGGAGGGGCCCAAGAGCAGTGAGGAGCTGCTTTCTCCTTTACCTTCACAGTGAGCCTAGGGATCTTCCTGCTGGAAGCCTCTCTCAAGGGACAGTCTTCATCTGGGAAAAAGGTGGGAGGATCTTTACACATGACCTCCTGTTCTCGAGTCTCCCAACCCGAACTGAGCCATCCATTGTTCACACCCCAGACACAGCTCTTTCTCTACCAACCTGGGGGTAGAGCATTTCTCTACCAACCTGGGGGTGTGAATTCTTCTATCTTGGGATCTTTGCCCTAGAAGATGGAATGAGGGAACTATGAGACACACTCCCCTGCTGCAGGACAGCTTCTTCACAGGGCTAGGAAAAGGGCTGAGAGGGAACTGGGCAGGGGGGGACCACCTGGGACCCTGCATGGGCCACTGAACCCCATCGAGTTCCCTGCCCCCTTCACCTTGCGCATGTTCATCTGCTTCTGATAGAAGAGATTCCATTCCCGCTTGTGGGCCTCGTCTCTGCCCTCATCACCACTACCTCCGGAACCTTCATCATACCTAGAGAGGATGGATATGAGCAGCCCACGCTAGGGCTCTGCCTTACTCACTTCTGCCACTGGTGGGACAGTGTTATCCCTGACACCCTGGAAGCTTGAGGCGATACTGAAGCTCAGGCTCCAGGATGAGTCATGGGCCACACTGCAGGAAGGCCATTGCTGTGGCCTGGCATCAGTATCAGGGGGATGACTATTCGTTTCCTATGGGTCAGGGGCTCCTGACTTCACAGCCCCTCACCTACTGAATCCCCCATAGCCCCTGCGGCCTCCTTCATACAGCTCAGGATCGAAGTTATTGCCCTGGAAGGGCCCAATGCAGGTCTTGTTCCAGCTGCTGCTGTGCTCCAGGGCATCTAGCTTCTTCCGTACAGATGCAGGGCTCTGGCAGTGGTCACAGCCTTTGGAACAGGCAGGTGGTGCATCCCCGAAGTACTTGGCAATGGCAGCATGTCGGCACCTAGAGTAGGCAGTGCCACGGGGATGAGGGAATGAGTGAAGTAGGCGAGCATTTGTTCATCTAATCCATAAACACTACCTGACTCACAAGTACCATGTTGGTGCCTTACATGCTTTTACTCACAGGGGCCTTTCAAGGCATCACCTGGTGCTGCCTACTGCACAGCTGGGGCAAGTGAGATGAAGCAGCTTTCCTCAGGTCATGGAACACACAAGGTAGCTTGGAGTCAGGATGTGAGCCTCTATCCTGTCTGGTTACTCCTCTGAACCCTGGGGCCTTGCTCTTCCCTCCACCATCAGTGGCGGGATGCCCCGGAAGAGTTGAGGCTCTGGTGCAGATATTGGCTCCACCACCAAGACTATGTCAGTGGGTAAAACATTTCACCTTTGAATTCTATGGCCTCTCGCTCATGCTGTTGGTGGGACAGTGCAGGAGGTGCTTGTATCACAGGCTGTGTGAGCACTGATGAGGAGATGGTCTAAAGGGATCCCTCCTCACCCTTCTCTGGGTAGGAGAGAAAGAGAAGAACAGAGGAGGGCCTGTCTTCGTACTCTGCTCTGCTTGTCCTGTCCTTTTTCCTTTTTTTAAAAAAACAGGATCTCTCACTAATGCTCAGGCTGGCCTTAAACTCATGAACTTCCTGCCTCAGATTCTCAAATCCTAGGATTACAGGGATGAGCCACCATACTGGGTTTCCACTTGTATCTTGATGACTTTTCCTTATTCACCCTGATAAGCCTCTTTTCTTGTCTAAGGCTGGGGGCTGCACCTGGTCTAGCTCCCTGAGAGACAGCAGGGAAGCAGGCAGTTCTGACTGCTGCTGTCATGCCTGGTCACTGGTGAAGTCATTTAGCCAGGGAGACACTGCCTCACTGGAGTTGCCCTCTCACCTTCTACAGCCTTGATTTTTTTTTTCTTTTTGAAACAGGGTCTCTCTCTATAGCCTCAGCTGGCCTGGAACTCACTATGTAGACCAGGCTGGCTTTGAACTCACAGAGATTCGCCTGCCTCTGCCCCCGAAGTGCTGGGACTACAGGCCTACACCACCATGCCTGTCTTTTTTTGTTTTTATTTTTGTCTTTTGAGACAGGGTCTCCCTGTAGCCTCAGCTGTCCTGGAACTCACTATGTAGACCAGGCTGGCCTTGATCTTGCAGAGATCTGCCTGCCTCTGCCTCCTGAGTGCTGGGACTAAAGGCATGTGTCACCACGCCCAGCTTGCCTTGGGATAACCAGTTTTGTGAAAGCTGGTGGCAGGAAGCAGCCTCCATCTGGTACGGGAGATTCAGTTTCTTCTCTAAACCCCAGGCTGAGGCTCTGGGAGAGGTCACTGTTCTACCAGAGTCCTTGCAAATAGCCATTCCTGCTGTCAGGAATGTGGTACTGGGTGGGGGAACCTGAGAAGAGATGCCAGAGCAAAGCAGGGCAGTCTGAGTTGCCAATCCTAAAGATGAGAACAGTTGGTACCAACTGCTTCTAAACACAGCTCCTCTCAATATGAGTACTGCCTGGAGCTCTGATCCTCAAGAGCAGGCTCCTGTAAGTCGACTGTGACCCAGCCCTTAAAGAAGCAGGGAGGGTCCCTAGTATTCTTCTAGCCAAGCAGAGAACAATCCTGGATAGAAGCTGGATAGAAGCGGCAGGAGACAGCAGAGGGCACTCTTGCAGCCTCCTCCAGCTAGTGGTGAATATATGCGACATGTTCCTCTCTTTGCTCAAGGCTGTTGCCTGTATAGTGGTGGCCTGTCCTGTCCCTGAGAAGCTCTGGCATATGTGGTGTGGCCATCCATTGGTCTCCTCCCTGCCCCCAAGCTCTGACTCACTGGGGTTTTGTGCTCAGATTCAAAGCGTTCCATTGACTGCAAGGCTGGGGTCAGTTTCCCCCCCTGCAGCCTGGTCTGCGGGTGGTACAACAGTCAAATGTCAATGGGCCTAGCTGTTGGACAGCAGGGCCAGGAGTGTAGTAACAGCTGAACAGTAGGAGACCAGCAGTATCCCTTCTCTTAGCCGGGACCCGAGGCTCCTCACCAAACAAGTAGTCTACTCCTAAGGCTCCTAGGATCTTCAAATTCCCCCTCCCCAGAGAAGCCTGTGGATGCCAAGTGGCAGAGGGACCTCACCAGAGGGATGCTTGCGAAGCCTGCTGACTTACTTGGGTGGTCTGGTAGCTACTCTATTTTTCTTTCCTGGGAGAGGCCAGAGGGAGGGACCAGCCAGGGAGTGGCCCAAAGGACAGGCTGGGGTGGTTATGGACATAAGCCAAAAAGGATGTTTAGGGGGAGGTGGTGGGGAGCTCAGGAGCTTGGAGACAGCAGCTCCACCCCCTCTTCCCCCAGCAACTTAGACTGACCCCCTGGGGTTATTTCCACAGGGAAACATAGTCAACGGTTTCCTTCAGCTCAGCCCTCAGCCTATGGTGTGGCCACAGAGGGATGGGAGGGGCGAGAAGAGGAGGAAGAAGAGAGGGAGTGGATTTAGGATCTGAAGAGGAGTGGATCTCCTAAGCAGGGAAAGGCACAGGGTAAGAAGTCTAGCGATATCAAGGGATGGCTCCCTCTGACTCCTCCTCACAAAGGTAATTTGACACTTTGATCTCCAGGACAACCAACAACATAAAAGCAGCTGGCTGTCAGCAACCAAGAGCTTGCACTGCAAGGTGCCCAGGGGAGAAGCAGCAGGGTAATAAAGTGGCAGCGCTTGTGAAGGAAGTAAGAGGTGGCGGCCAGGGCACTGTGGAGGTACACAGAGGCTCCACACTGCAGCACCTCTTCTTGACTCCCTGATCTCTGAACTATCAGGTAAGTGGCCCTGGCCACAGGTAACAGGGTGGAGACAGGAGGGGAAGGGCAGCAAGGGGCTCATGTCCCAAGGGTGAGGAGTCACAATTTACCATGAACACAGAGGCACATCTTGCAGGATATACTGGGTCACTCCTACAGGAAAACTCAGCCAGCCACCTCTTGTGTATACCTGAGCTCCCTCTTATCCTGGGACTCAGTATTAGGGAAGGGGTATACTGTGCAGAAAGCACCCCTGCCAATTGCTTGCAGCAGAGGGACTGGGGGCCTGCTGATCTGGCATATCAGTTTAAGCCTTTTCTATTCAGTGGGCTTAAAAGAGAGCCACATGCCTGCTGAGCCTCCATTTCTCCCAAGATGAGGCCTGAGCCCTCCCTGTCTAGGAGGCTTAGGATCCCAGCCAGCTCACACCCTCCAGGATCCAACAGGCCCTGAGCAGAGCTGTCTGCCTGAGCCTCGAGCAAAGCAGCATTTCCATGTCTTTTGGCTTGAACTGCTTGTGTCTAGGTGCTCTCGGCCCAGGGAAGTCTCTGCACCTGTTTAAGATTCCTAGGATTCCCTTAGGTCCTCTCTGGCAGTGAGCTCTGAACCTCAATCAGGGGGCATGCGTGCCTGATTCTAAAGCTAGGGTTGGAGGGGGAAACGGTGACAATACGAATGAGGCTGGGGAAGGACCCCAGGATGTGGCTCCATGCTGCATCACTGTAATGGTGACCCTGAGACAGTTCTTTGGTTCATTCTTTGGGCCGCATAAGCATAGTTCTCCTGAGCAGGGCATCATGACGGGAGGCTGCTCACTCTTCTACCTCCTGTTCTCACACCAAGGTTCAAGTCCCCCAGATGTTCCTTCCAAAGTAAACAAGCTGTTATCCAGCAAGAAAGAAAAACATCATCCAGGATTGGAAACCAAGGAGCGGGCCAAGTGTCCTTGGCTCAGCAGAGGCCGTGGGCTTGTGTTGGGTGCTGGGAGACTAACTCCTGTCCTGTGTTAATGTAGGGAATTGTGCAGCAGAGAGGGCACAGGACTGGAATTAAGCTGTAGCTGAGACAGCAGATCAGGACAGCTGAGAGAGGGGCATGGCAGGAAGCTGGTACCCACAGGACAGGGGCTCCAGCAGTCCCTGAGCTGGGAGGAAGGAGAATGCCCAGCTTCTACAGTGACAGGCAGGGAGCTAGCCCTGTTTCTAATGGACACTAGAATGGCAAGGGTTCAACCACCCACTTTCAATTTCAAATTGGAGCCATGGCAGAGGGACTCAACCAAACAGCATAGTGCATGATGGGCATCTTTACCCTTTGGTCAAGCTCTGGGCCCCACAGATCTCCCATAACTTGGTTATAGCTCATTCAAGCTGCTTCTCAAACAAGATAATGCCCTGGAGGGCAAGGGTGGTTACAGCCCTCCGTGACAAAAGCACATGGGTACAGCAAGAAGCCCTTTGGGACTGCAAGCCATCTGTAAAACTGTGCTTATCAGGCATAAACACACTGCTTGCTCCCTTCCACATGCGAAGCCTGGAGTTGGACTATCAGGTTTGCAAAGGGGAAGCTGTGGTACCAAGTGGTAGCTATTTGGCCTACAGTACACCCACCTGCTCTGTGGCAAGATTTTCTGTGCCAAGAAATGCCACAAAAAGGAAACTGCCACAGTCCTTCCAGCTCTGCAAGTCTTCCTCTCTGTCCTGCTGGCTGTCCCTAACCAGTGACTGCACCTCAGCCAAGGAGCTCCAAGAAGGCTCCAAGAAGTACTCTATAGGTAGCCTGGGCACCAGGTGGGCCCTGGTGGCAGTCCCAACTGTTGTCCCTTTCTGGACCAGGGGAAGCCACCACTCATTCTACTGAACATGGGACTGGGAGGCACTCTGGTTCCCCTGAGTTTCAGGCAGAGAATATGGTTTGAGAAGGAATTTATTTAACAAGATAGAAAGTCCAGGAAAATACAAATTTATCAGTAGCTCCACTCAGCTTCTCTACCTTCCTCCCCCAAACATAGGACGGTTTTTCAGTCAACAAGGAGCAGCCCCAGTGCTCTCACTCCCCCCATGACTGCAGCTGGAAACGTGCAGGGCTCCCTTCAGAGCAACAGCACATACCACAGGGTCACCTGACAGCCACTGGTTATATTGGGCACCAGGCATCAGTTGGCTCCACTTTAAATAGCCCACTGGGAAGACGGCTGGGGACCTGCTGGAATGTGCCTCTTTCCTTCTGGGGGAAACAAGACCCCTCAGCTCCCTCTCCCCCATGTGTTTCTCTGTTGGATTAGAGGCCTAAGTTTTAAATAAAAAAATTATCAACTGTCAAGCCAAGAGTGTTCCTCTTCAGCTCTTTGAGGGCAGGACAGACATGCCCAACACTCCCACTTCTGTTGGCAAAGCAGAGAACCTGGCAAGCAATCCTAGGTCAGGTCCCAAGGCTGGTGTGGCTGGCCAGATCTCACTGTTGAATTTCACTTCCAGTGGGCTGCCTAGAGAAGCCCTGGGCACAAAGCTATGAGGCTGTCCACACCAGGAGGCCCACCACTGACGTGGACTGATATTCTTCCAGAGGAGAGCCCAGACCCACTGGGCATGAATCTGCAACACTCTCTAACTACAATCCAAGAGGAGACTGCTCTTGTAGCTGGATCTTCTAATCAACAAATTCTGCCTTCCCTGCAGAGCAGGTCCAGCTTCAGCTCACTCCTTTCTTCCCTGCTCTGGAACTAGACACTGAAAGCTTTTAGCCAGACCCAGGGTCCCAACACCACAATCTGTGACAAGCAGGTGCCTCTTTCCTCCCCCACCGTTATCTTTCCCTAGGTCTTTGGGTATGGTAAAAAGTCTGACCACTGGCCTCCTGCCGGCTTCCTCTTTTAAGGAGTATCTCCATTAGGGCTAGATAAGGCAATGTGTTCCAATCAGGCTGAAAAAGCCAGACCAAGGATAGATGAAGAGGATGGGTTAAAAAAAAGAAAGAACAGCCCTGGGTCTGAACCGTGTGCACACCATTGCTAGGAGGTGGAAATGGTACAGAGGTCCCAGGACTTGTGCAAACATGTGCCAAATGGACAGAGGTAGGGTCTCCTTTGGTCTGACCAGAAGGGATGGTCCTATATATGCAGCAGCAGGGCACACACGATCTATCTCTCTAATGACAAGCACCATGTGCAATTCTCAGAAAGCCGAGTGTGCCACATTCTGGTGGTAATGAAGATAAAATCGGGGCTCTAGGCCCACATGAGGGTCTGTTGATTGTATACAGCTCACGGGATTCTAAAAAAGGGCTTGGGGGCCTGGTTCTTACACAGAGCCCAGACATAGGCCACACCTCAGTGGAACTCAGTTGTGCTGCCTTATGTTGCTGCTCAAAGTCAGAGTCCTCAGTTGCCCCCTGTGTAAAAGGTCTCTCACCCTCAGAGGTGCTCAGGAAGGAGCGATGACCAGGAACATGTCAGGATTCTGTCCCTTCCTGCAATGTGTAAAGTGGGATCTAATCTTTACTGCAGAAGAGTGCTAACCCTGGGGTAAGGCATGAGAGAAGCCAGAGTAACTTATAGAACCTGACACTTCTGACAGGGCAGTATCTACTTTTCATCATGGAGCTACCACCTGCCTGCTACTCCACTGTCACTAAAGTAACAACTTCCTTTGTCTAGCTTGTCCATCTTCCTTTGACTCATAACATCAGCATCCTGGGGATGGACAGATGACATTTCTTAAAGGTGTCTGGTGGTTTAATTGACAGAAGGAGGGAGGTTGGCTTCCAAAGCCAGTGAGACTCAAGACTGCCTTGACTCTCCTGCCCTGCCAGGCCTCACCCAGAGGGTGTTCCTGCAACCAGGTCCCTCCCTGAGCTCATCTCCTTGTCAGCAGAGATGAAAAAGCCTATCCATGTCACAAGGGGGGTTGTGGAGGGGAGGCAGGATGATTAAAACAGTATTCTATGAAGGGTGGCTGGAAGTTAGAGAAGGTACAGCAGGGCTGGAGATGTAGCTTAGTGGTACAGCACCTGCCTAGCATGAGAGAGGCCCTGGAATCCATCCCCTCCCTCCAAACAAAAAATCCAGAGAAAGTACCATGGGCTTAGTAGAAAGGAAATTCACATAGTTGCCAACTATGATCCAGTTCCTGAAGAACTGTTAGGAGAAGGGCAACCATTGCCTAAATGACCAGGTAAGACTCAATGGAGGTAGGCATGGACCTCTCACCTCAGAGGTGTTCAGGCAGAGGCTGTACAGCACACACGTAGGATGATTCCATCACATGACCCACAGGGAAGTTTTTTTTTTTTGGTCTTTTTGAGACAGGGTCTCCCTATAGCCTCAGCTGGCCTGGAACTCACTATGTAGACCAGGCTAGCCTTGAACTCACAGAGATCTGCTTGCCTCTGCCTCTGCCTCCTGAGTGCTAGGATTAAAGGTGTGCACCACCACATCCAGCTACAGGGAAGTTTTAAACCTGCTAAATCAGGTAGCAGTGCTGGGAGTGACAGGCTTCACAGACCACATCCATCTCAGGGAGAACCATAGCAGAGACCAGGGCCTGCCTGGTAGAGACCAGGGCCAAACACAAGCCCCTGGCTACCTACCACTATCCCTCAGGATTAAAGTAAGTGCTGTGGTGAACAAGTTTGGCTGTGTTAACACAAGATTTTCCCTGTTCCCTCACTCACAAGTGGGACGGAAGAGGAGAAAAGCTCTGATGCTCAAATGGGACCCAACTCAAAAACTCAGTCTAGAGCTTTGCCTATGGCCTTTTGGGAAACCCTAGACTAGAAACAGCTTTCTGAAGCTTTTTCTAGTGAGGATGGAATAATAGGTCCAAGCCAAGAAAGGAGGAGCTGGCCAAGCCAGCCCTGGAGCTCCTGATCCCACCTGATCAAACAAGACCCCAGGGAATACTGAAGTACTATGTGGTCCCGTCTTCCTTACAGGACAATATGAGTAAAGAAATTGGGCTCGTAGGAGAATGGGGCATCCTTGGGGACTCAGCTTTGTAGCCTTCAAGCTGGGCCCACTGATCCATCAATTTTTACCTAGAGCTGATCCCAGCTAGAGTCCCCATGAACCTGTTCTTGGAGCCTGATTCTCCTCCCACATGGAATCCTGAGGCCTGTCTAGCCACCCTGAGGGCATGGGGGAGCATTTAAGTCCTGAATGACTTAGGGGTTGGCTAGGGAGCTCTGTCAGTCCAGGTACCCCAGCCAAATTGACTGTTGGTGTCTCAAGACAAAGGAATGTAATAGCAAAGTCATAATACCTGATGGTCAGAAACCTTGACCAGCCATAGCCTTGGCTAGTAGACCTTCAAAGCAGACTCTCAAGGTCACACTCACCAATAGCCTTCCTTGCTCTGGGCAGTGCCAGCCAGGTAGGGGCTGAAGACTGCTACTGAACACAGACTTCCACAACTCCTTCTCCCTGCGAGCCACAGGTGGTGCATGGGCAGACCTGACAAACCTGTTCTGCTGGCTATGGTGGGAGAGAGGCTGGTTCACTGGCGCTGCCTCACAGTATGTGGGCAGCTCCACAGGGACTCTAAAGTACTCTGTCTCTGCCTTGTTACAGGCCACAGGAGCCCTAGCAACATGACAGACTTTGTACAGGAGATGCGCTCTGTGGGTGAGAGGCTGCTGTTGAAGCTGCGAGGACTGCCCCAGGCTGAGCCTGTGGAGCTTGTGGCCTTCTCCATCATCGTTCTTTTCACAGGCAAGTGGGGCACCTGTACCTGACTCCTTGGCCCTGTCCCCTCAGTGTCCCATGGGTACTTCCTGGTATCTGGGAGACCAGACTATGGTGCTACCTGGAGGGCTAGAGAGTGTCTATCAGACAGGCAGTAAAGCAGTGTCCTGGGGGAGGCTGAGAGATCTGCCTCTGCTATCACCTGAGTGAAGGGCAATGCTAGGCAGTGTTAGGAACTGGGTACCATCAGGTATCAACCCATGAATGAAGGGAGTCAAGCTTGGGCAGTGGAATTGGGTTAGAGGTCAAAGTGTGGAGCCAGCAAGGACCACTGTCAGCCTCTCAAGTCTTTATGACCATTATGCCAGGCCTGGGGGTAAAGGCCTCAACATACATCCAGGGGAGGTTCCTCAGAAGGAAGGTAGGCATCCTTTCTCTCCCTGACTTCTTAGCTCTGGGCCTCTCTTCCTTCAGCTACTGTCCTGCTGCTGCTGCTGATAGCCTGCAGCTGCTGCTGTGCTCACTGCTGCTGCCCTGAGCCCAGAGGCAGGAAGGTCTAGGTGCAGCCCATGTCACCCAGGATGAGGGGCAACAGAAGCTGGACAGGAGCCTTCCAGAACTGTACCACCAGATGTCTTCATGGCCCTGAGGCCTTCACTCCTCCAGACAAAGATTCCCTGGCCCCAGTTCTGCCACTGCCCAGGTGACACAACACTGATGCCTGGAGCCTTATCAAGGAAACAAGGGCAGGTACAGGCACAAAACTCCAGCTGTCAGTGGACACGAGTGCCAAGGAGGAGCCAACTGCTTCAAAGACTCAGGAAACCACCTAGGTCCTTTGCTAAGCACTTTTTAACAAACCATGGATGTAGGGGCCCCCACACTTCGATGGGGAACAGCCCATCCTTGTGGGGAGCTGGTCCTTGGAGCTCTGTTGATTTATGCCAAAGAGAAGAAAGCCAATTAGAGATTTTGTGCATTTACTGGACTCCACACCTCCTGCTGAGGGGGAATGTGTCGTGTCAGAATTCTAGCTGAAATTTGTCTGCTTATTCCTAAGTAAAAGCTTTTTGGTTATACGTTTGTATTGTTGGGTTGGGCTCTGTGCATCAGGGGTGGTGCCAGAATTCCAAGGGCATGACCAGTGACTATTCATTCCAGGCTGTTGCTCTCCCTGTGCCGGTGAAAGCTGGAAAATAACACAAGGAGGAATGCCACAAAGATAGCAATGACATAAACCAGCAGAGGTGCACAGCGACATTCCTGTTCCCATTAGCTGCTAACAAGCACTGGCTGCTAGAGCCCTACTCTCTTGAGTGACAGAAGCTGCCCTAGGGCAGGTGCTGGGCCCAAGAATGCCACTTAACATTTCCCACTGCCCTACCTTCTGCCTGTATACCCCATATTAACAGGCTCAGGCCACTGGGTCCTCCCAGATCTTTGCAGAGAGGTAAGGTCCTTAAGTGTTGCAACCTGACCCTTTGGCTCTATACCTGTTTGTGTGTTATCTGGGTTCAGCTCACAACTTCAGCTGCTACTTGCCAACCTTCTTAAGCTGGGTCTCCTCCAGGTAAGATGGGTTAGTTTTGGTACCTGCCTCCTGGAGTATGCTGAGAGGATAAACCAAGATGTCCTAAGCCTAGCACATTGTTAGGGTCTCCCTGTAGCCCCAGATGGCCTGGAACTGGCTATATAGACCAGGCTGGCCTTGAACTCACAGAGAGCCACCTGCCTCTGCCTCCCAAGTGCTAAGATTAAAGGCATGTGCTACCAAACGGGGCTTTGTTGGGCATGTCTTAAGAGCTTGATAATTAGTCGGGCATGGTGGTGCACGCCTTTAATCCCAGCACTCGGGAGGCAGAGGCAGGTGGATCTCTGTGAGTTCAAGGCCAGCCTGGTCTACATAGGGAGTTCCAGGACAGCTGGGGCTACAGGGAGATCGTCTGAAAAAGACCAAAAAAAAAAAAAAAAAAAAAAAAAAAAAAAAAAAGAGCTTGATAACTATGAACAAGGGGCCACCTAGAGCACAGTGGACCTATTTTAAAGAATGCTACTATTGAAATACTTTCCCGCCTCCTTCCCTATAGTTTACTTTCTCCAGATATACAGCTACAAACCCAGAAATGAGGGGAAAGGAGGCAGAGATGTGGGTCTCCACACATGTCAACAGGATCAGGACTGCAGTTCCTGTGGGGCCTCCACACTAGGGCTCCAGTCATAAAGAGCTGTCATTACTGCCATGAGTCTGTCACCTCAGTCTGTACAGCACACATTCTGCTTGCCTGGGAGCAGAGCACTGCCTACCTTTGAAAACAGGTCATGGTGAGAAGATGCCAGTCCCTGTCATCTCTAGTTGGCAATCCAGGCCATACAGGCAGGGACAGGCAGGCAGAAAGGGGTTCTCACTGGCTGGTGTGGCTTCCTGGTATCCACAGACTTGCCTGACAGGTTTGGGTTGAAGACCCAAAAAGGAAGTGTTTCCAAATAAAGAAATCAAAGAATCTATCTGTCCTCAAGCCTTAAAGGATGGGATTCAGAATATCAATGATGATGATGATGGTGATGGTAATAACAGCTAAACTTCAAAGGGCTTGTATGTGCTTAAATTTTTTTAAATGGTCCTTGTAACCAAACCCAGAGGCTGTGCATGCCAGGTACAAATGTTCTACCACTGAGCTACATCCCCAGCCCTCAGGGATTGTCTTAAGCTTTTTGTTTATTATTTCTTTGAGACAGAATTTCACCATGTAGTTCAGTCTGGCTTCAATTCACGATCCACCTGATTCAGCCTCCCAAGTCTTAGGATTATAGGTATGTGCCACTATGCCCAACTTGTCTTAAACATTTTTGTTTTGTTTTCTTTTTTGAGACAGAGTCTATGTAATTCTGGCTGACCTGGAACTTGAGATGCAGAACATGTTGGCCTCTAACTTAGAGCTATCCTCTGCCTCTGCCTCTGGAGTACTATGATTACAGGCATGGGCCACCACACCCCACTCTTACACATTTTGTTGCAGATAAATACATTTAATCACTACAATACCTTGGTGCAGTAGATAGCATTATTATCCCCATTAAGAGATGAAGTTCCCCCTTAGTGACAGTAGGAAATCTGTCCAAGTTTGGTCAGTTGGAAAGTGGCAGAACCAGCTTCTGGGTCCAGCCTGTCTGGCTCCAGAGCTCCTACATACCACACCTAAAGCTTGGGGCCTCTGGGACACAAGACAGAAAGTTCTGATTCCATTATCTCCATTAACTAACCCTATATCCAAACACCCACACCCAAACTCTGTCTCAAAATTGCTTCCACATTAGTGGGTATAGTCTAACAGGTAAGAGCTTTTATGGGGCCCAACTTGGTGTCAAAACCCCAGGGATAGTGGGGGGGGGGGCCTGGAAACCCTGCATCTTTCACTCCTAGCACTTATCAGCTGGAAGTTCCCAGCAGCCCTTGGTTCAGGAGCAGCAGCCCAGTTCCTTCCTGATTCTTCCTTAAGCAAGGCTTCATTATCACCAAGAATACCCTTTCTATAGAGTGGCTAAGGTTGAGACCCTTTGCTATAAAAAGATGGTTCACAGTCTAGCTGTAGAGCACTGGGTACCATGAACAGCCTTGGACATAGACATCAACAAACACCAGTTCATTTGCACCTTCTTGTCCCAAGCCAGGTAGTACTTAATTGTTTGGCTGGGATAAGAGGCTGTCTCTGCCCAGGCTATTCAAATAACCAAAGCTGCTCTGACCTAACAGCAGCCTGGCATACTCCTGGGATGGGCAGATCCTAGCACCAGACTTCCCTGGGAAGGAGACAGACATTTTCCGATTATGGGAAACATAAATACACAGTCCCTGCAGACCTGGCCTGCCTGAAGACAGCTGGTGGCCCAGAAGGAGCAGACATCAGGTTGTTTCAGATTGTAACTGCCCAATCCCATTCTAGAACAAGCCATCACAGTATACAGTGGCCATGAGGGATCTCAGAAGCCTCCTCATGCCCATCCCCAAACCGTGGCCTCTGCTCTACCAGAGTCTGTTCTCAGTTCCTCAAAAGGGATGTATTTGTTCCACACTGAAGAGCTGCATGCTTTATGCCAGCACATGCCTTATTACAAACTACAATAAAGCCAAGGCAAGAGTTGCATTAGCAACGTTTGGCAGAGCATAGAAAAACGTTCTCTTAAATCTGCTGAAATGTTAGCATCTTAAAGAAGTATATAATAAAAATCATCATAACACAAAAGAGTAATACAAAGTTCAGATCACAAAAAAAAATGCACAAATTAATTTTATCCTAAAAAGTTTCCCCCTCTTTGGGCCCTGTTCCATACTATGGAATGCTGCCCCTATGGCTCAGCTTTCAAAACTCCACTTCCACACCACTTTCTCACAGAGGAATCCCTCAGCACACAGACCAGGTCACCCACCTGTACCAACAGTATCCTCTCCTGTTCCATCATCTATTCTCTTCACAGTGATAATGACAGTAATCCCCTTGGGGACAGCAGTTAATTGAAAATGCCAGGTAATGCGACTTTTCTTTGAGACATACTCTACATCTTTCTCTTTTTTTTTTTTGGTCTTTTTGAGACAGGGCCTCCCTGTAGCCCCAGTTGTCCTAGAACTCACTATGTAGACCAGGCTAGCCTTGAACTCACAGAAATCCACCTGCCTCTGCCTCCCAAGTGCTGGGATTAAAGGCGTGCACCACCACACCCACCTAAAATATTTTATTATTTGATTTTATGTATATGAGTGTATTGCCTGCATGTATGTGAGTGCACTCATGTCATGCAATGCTGCAGAGGTCAGAAGAGGACGTTGGATTCCCCTAGAACTGGAGTTAAGGATGGTTCATAGCCGTCAAGTGGGTGCTGGGAATTGAACCCGGGTCCTCTTCAAGAGCAGTCAGTGCTCTGAACCACTGAGCCATCTCTCCAGCCCCTTTTTAAAAGATTCTATGCATCTGTGTGAATGTGTGCATATATGTATATACACCACATGTGCGCCTGGTGCTATGGAGGCCAGAAGAGGGTGATATATGCTCTTAAACTGGAGCTACAGGAAATTGTGAACTGCCCAATGTGGGTGCTGGGATCAAACCCTGGTCCTCTGCAAGAACAGCAAGTTCTCTTAACCACTAAACCATTTCTCCAGCTCCTACATAACTCACTTTAAATGGAGAAAGACATATGCATTTCCTGGCTCCTTTCAGGGTGGAGCTGGGTATCTTCTTGGAGCATGGTCTGACTGCCCAGTGCTCTTGTATTTATTTTGTAGTTTTGGTTTCATTAGAGCACAGTAAGAATTTAAAGACATTTGCAAGGGAATCTGAGAATAATGTCACTTAGAGGGGCCAGCAAGATGGTTAAGTAGGTAAAGGTGTTTGTCGCCAAGTCTGACAACCTTGGATTTGATTCCTCTTCAATCTCAGGAATCCACATACTAGAAGGAGAGAACCGACTCCCAAAATGTGTCCTCCCCACATGTGCCATGGGACACACGTGTGTGCGCACATACACAGTAAATGTCTAAAAATGTTTTTTAAAGTTGGCGGGGAGGGGATGAGGTCTTACTATTTAGCCCTGGGTGGCCTGGAACTTACAATGTAGACCAGGTTGGTCTCAAACTCTGCTGCCTCCTGAGTACTGAGATTAAAGGCATGCGCCACCTGCGCAAAATAAATAAATAAAATAAAATAAAATACGTCATGAGTTTTACAAAATGTACCCAACGTTATGTTTGAATTTCTTTTGACAGGAATATTGAACAACATCAAAATGGTCACAAAGGCATTAATAGAAACAGCAGCTTTGTTTGCTCTGAGGTATGGTAGAGCCTAAGAGCTCAGGCTGTACAGCTGACTCTAAACTCCACCCTAGTTGTACCAGCTGTACAGCCTTAGTAAGCTGCTTAACCTCTCTGCCCTGAGCCTGTTCCCTATCTGTAAAATTGGAGCTTCAGCTATCATTATTGCTTCATCTGCTTATAAGATGTCACCTTCAATTTTGTAATTATAATAACAAGCACAACTACCATAAACCAGTTTGGGAACAAACTGACTCTTGATAAGAACCTGACTTAACTGAGAGAACACACGTACCAGGGTGTGCCAGAGACCAGCCTGCTGGCTGTGTGCATTTGGCAGGCCAGGGACAGAGTCAGCAAGTTCTACACAAGGAAACAGAAAGCATCAGGTGAGCCATATAGGTCAATTCAGTGCAGGACAGTAAAGAATGCTTTACTGAACTTGCTCATCAGCTGTCAACCACCCCTGGGAAGCTTAGAACAACAGAGTACCCTGGTATGAGTCTGCTATAAGTGGGCATTTCACAAAACTCCCAAGTGACTGTAAAAGCAGAGCTGAAAATCTGTAGGCTAGAACACGAGCTGTGTTGAAGGCTTGCCTCTTCTGACCTCATGACAGGACACAGTGCCTAGTAGCATCAGGCCCACACAGCCAAGTTTTTTTTGTTTTGTTTTG